ATCACATTAGCAACGACATGTGCTATACTAGTTCTTTTTTTATTTTGTATCTTCTACTTGTCTGCCATTTCAAAAATAAAAGTCAACTCCGTAATAGAACACAGCAAAAGTAGCATGAAAGCTCCGACATTATTACGATAACGCAGGTATATCCATTGCTATTACATTCTTATTTATTTTTATTGCCCTACGTACGTTTCCTTTTCCGCGGAATATCCGCCTTGTGATCTTATATCTTGTACTTCGAAAATACGTGTTTTCAAGAAAGAAAATGGAAACACATATGCACACATCCACATATGGCACAATGGCATCTATAAATTCAGAAAATCTACGTATATTTAAAAAACTGGATAGCTTTTATAAGACAGCTTTTAGCTGACAATAAATAAAAATAAAATAGAAATTTTATATCAAATAAAAATATATATAGTAACCAGTTATAAAAAAAAAAAAGATCTACACTTCAACGTAATATGGGTCAATATTGCACATAATTCTTGTTACAGCAACAGAAGAAAAGTTCGACTTCCAGTACCAAAAAAAGAGTATAGTAGGTGATAAGGACGGGCTGGAAGTGATGTGCAAAGCCGAAGGTCTTTATCCTCAGCCAACTCTCGATATCTCGGTCAAGTGAGTCTTTATAAGAGTTAAAAGATCTCATCGAAACCTTTACAAATTCTGCAAACTTCAACTGTTCATTGCATATTATTCCGACTTAATTTAATTTACATTATAGATTATAAGAACTTTATCGATTCTTAAGATACTGTGGATGTTGAATTTGTTTAATAATTCAATTTAAACACATATAATGTAAATTCAATTTAAGTTGTGCATTTAAGTATCAAATTTTTTTCAAGTGAATAATAATTTGGTTAAAATCTTTGAGAAGGTAAATAAGATATAAAATTCGTTATACATACACACACATACATATATATATATATATATAATATAATGTATAATATATATTTATAGTGATCTTCCGGAAGGGCAAACTTCAAAGTTTAATGCCACAGTGACACTTCGCGAAGATGGATTGTATGATATCTTATCTCGAGTAGACTTGCTAGACGAGGAACTACCGGAAGTTGCAGAACTCAAGTGCACCCTCGACATCCCGAAAGCAAACTACAGCATATCACAAAAAACCATCTACTATTCCGGTTAGTTGTGCAATTTTTGCGCTTTAATATATTTTCATTAACATACTGTCAATCTACTAAATTAACCCACACCCGTAACCCGTAATTTTGAAATTACTGGGCTGTGTCATCAAATTAATCTCTATGCTTAAGTAGAAATGTCTATGCTCGGTTTTGTTGTGCAGGAAAGGCTACTACTGTTTCATCCGCTACAGCGATACCGCAGCATAAAATGGATATCCAGGCCCTAGACAGCTCATATCCCGGTAATGGTGGTGGTAAGATCGAATCAATCGAGGATTCTTAGAGATGTACGTTTGGCACCGAATCATTACCATTAGCCACTATTTTCCGATCAGGGGCCTTCACAGTTCTGATGAAATCTGTGTATTCATTTCATGCTCGTCTCTCGAGAAATCTGTTCCAGCATCCCTAAAGATTTACCCTCGATCCCCGCTCCACTGTAACTTGTGATATTTAACAGCTCTTTTTCAAGACACTTTAATATTTAATCCTCCCCAAAATTGTCGAATCATCAGATTGAAGCTTTCCTTCTTCGACTTACTTTTTATTGTATTTTTTTTTCTTTGTTTCTTTTTCTCTGTTTTTACATTTTTGTATTGTATGTGTGTATTTTAATGATTTAAAGAAACCAATAACAAATCAATTTAGCTACTTTTTTTTTGAGAATGCCGTGCATGGAATAATTAATTGTAAATTTTTCAACATTTTTTTTTTTTAGTATCAATTAGTTGATGTTAAATTGAAAACCTTTATCCGAACTGTCAGTGATATAATGCAATAGCAGAACTTAATCAGATATTAATGTAACGGATACATCAATTCTGTGTTTCTTTTTTTAATCTTTTGGCATTAGTATTGCTCGAATATCATGTATTATCCAATAGAAGTCAAAGCAGGCAAAAGCCCATTAGTATTATACCTTTCAGCGGAGAATTATCCCGTAATATTAGCACCCCCATATACATGTACTAATGTCTATGCATTAATGCATATGCATTCCGCTCAAGTGGCCTTCATTATGGTTATGCATATTTATGAAACTCACCCGCGGCCGTTGTAACGCGCTCAATTATTGGCTCCATTAATTTCAGGAGAATGCTCAAACGCAAAGAAAATTTTTCATTATATTACGAAATATATGATATATTAGAAAAGACGAAGGACAGGGCATTTTTATTACGCTACGTGTCATCGTTCCATAGAACGTAATATCTTTATTTTATGGGATTGTCGTGTCATATGAAGAAAAATAGGATATGCTGCAAAATGTAATAACGAATAATAATTTATAGAATTGTGTTGAAGAAAAATTTTTATTTTGCTATTACTTTGTTTTTATTTCTTTAATTCGTTAAGTCTTTCTCAATATAATTTCGTAAATTTATTGTTTACTATTACATTTTATGTCATCCTTTTTTATTTTTTATTTTTTTTTTTTTTCAATTATTAAACAATTTTTATCACACAAACAAACACACACGCACACGCGTACCCACACACACAGCACACACACGTTTAAATTATTATAAGATAATTTATTTTAATATCTCATATGTACTTTAATTTAATTGCAGGTAGCTTCGTCGACCGCGCATCGATTAATCTTGTCCTGTTACCAATATACCTGGCTATTCTCATTCTGTTTCATTAATAAAACAATCAATAGGTAAGTTTGGACAGCGTTTGCTTCGACAATTTTAACGAAAAATCGATTCAAAATTTTAGCTTATTTTTGAAATGTTAAAAATTTTGTATTATATATTCCATTACGTATATATATTTTTTAAAAATTAAGATTATATATTACAGTTTTTCTTTTTCAAGATGCTTTTAAAATTATTTAAAATTTGATTAAAACTTAATTTAAAGATTTTAATTTAAAGGTTTAAAGGTTTTTTAATTTAAAGATATTTGTTTAAAATTATAATATATATAATTTTTTCAAAATATATAAACATAGAAATGAACAGGGTACAAGATTAAATTAAAAAATATAACTGCAAAATGACAAATATTTCGGTTAAATTAATATTGCATACTTGATGTATGCATAAAAATAGAATATTTTCCTTAAATAGATATAAAACAATTTGCTAAATAATGTTTTTGCTATTAAAAAAATTCATAAAGTACCCTGTTTTAATTTGATTTATACAATAATGATTGCATTATAAATAATTTATCGTTGGTCTAATTGATAAGGCCTAATTATTAATTTAACAACACACGATTCCTCATAAAATATAAAACACAATAAAAAAAAAAGATCTAATGTATAATATAAAGATACGTTAAATGGCTGCTATATGTTTAGTCATTTTTTATATTTTAAAAATCTAACTTAAAATATAAGAAATATAATGGCTATCTATAAATATTAGCCATTTTTTACATTTTATAATTAAAATACCGCCAAAACTTCGTCAACAATATAAAATATAGTGTGTAAGATAATATTAAAAAAAAAATCTAATATGCAATGCGAAAAAATATAAGAGATGACTAAATTATTCTTAATATAAAATATAAAAATGTAAATTGTTCCTCGGTTTACGATGCTTTTTATATTTTATATTAGAGGAATATACCAAAGAGCATAAATTGTACATAACAGTGTTATAATTAATTCAGAATTAAATAGTATGTACCATTGTGCGAAACAACTTTATTGTAGAAACGTAATCAAGAATTCTATAAGTCGTATTTTTATAAATTGTGTAAATAACATAGAATTGATTGTATGCGTATATACAAGTAATCGATTTATGTTACATAAATAATAAACATGAATAATACTTACCAAATATCCTCTCCTCGTTCATTGAAGTTAAGAGGTTGATTGAAGTATTTAAGATAATGAAAGATGGCTTTTAACGACATCCTTATATACATTGACTTCCTTTTTTATTTTGTCGGTTTTGATGTGCGTAAGAAAGGTTCATGCAAGACTTTGTGAAGCTTTTGAGCTTTGTGCAGGCCGAATCCGGGACAAAAAGCCAGAGTGTTGGATTGGGCTTTTACAATGTCAGCCAATGTGCCAAAAGTTGTTAACAAAGTTGATGCATCGGTTTTGTTCACAGATCTCACTGTCGTTAAAGCACTGACCAACTGAAAGAAACATTTGTCATAAGTTATAGATATTTAGATATAGATAGATATCTTTGTGTGTGTGCAAGAATCTAATAATTACTTTTTGATGAGGCGCAGTATCGCTGCGTTCCATGATATCATCAGGAGGTTTGGTTTCATATCTTTTATAAGTTTCAATAATTTTTCCTGCATCCTCTGCACTCCATGCTAACATTATTGTCATGTCCGCTAGAATGGAGATCCTTGTTAAATGTTTTAAAGCATGGTGAGGATCGGCGACATCTATCTGATCACAAAAAATTTCAATTTAAGTGAAACAATTATAAAAATTTCAATTTATATGATAATCAAGAAACGACAAATAAAGATGATAATATACCTGCACCAAAAGCACTCGCAAATTGTAAGCATTGCTCAGCAATTTGAGTCTCTCATGTATATAATCTGGATTCAATTGGTGATAACGGATTGATAAGAAAAGAGCACATGTAGTGTTTCCCATCACATAGTCTGGCACAATGTCGGAATACTCCCATGGCACATTTGTTATAAATTTTAGCAATGGATTTCCTTTCTAAAAACATTAATCCCTTATAAATTTCAGGAATTATTTTAATTATGTTATTAATAAATTTACTTTATAAAAGCATCGTTAATTCTCTAGTATTAATGTAATTTAAAAATATTTTTTCTTTAGGCGATATTACTTGTTTTTGACTGACAAGAACAGCATTGGTTCTGCTGGAAGTTGTTGCCGTAGAACTTTCTGGTCTGGGAGTTGGTAATTGTTCATTGAAAAACTTAGATTTCTTCAAATTACTGAAAGCAGCTAATCATAAGAAGCAAAATTATATGACTTTGATTTGACAATAAAGGTTGTTTTCCAGCAAGGGACACAAAAGTTGACACAAAAGTATTATTCTCTGTTGCTCATTGGATATCAAACAAAGACGGAGTGATACTTGTATCGATTTGTGTCGATTTGTGTGGTGGAAAACCACCAAAGATACCAATAGATTGTACAATAAAATTGTAAACAATTGTACAACTTACACTGAAAAGATGTATCTCTAGCTTGTTTTGGTGGAGACACATCATCTGAATCTTCTGCAGTCTCTCGAGTATTACTCATAATTTCTATTTCATTAAACAAATATTTTAATGTGATGTTATAATCTTATACGATAAATGTCTAGACACGGTCTAAACATTTATAAAAATTTCAAACTCATCTAACGCACCTGAGAACTTCCACAACTCACTACAGCTGATGAGCTGACTAACGTGGAACGTACGCCATCTAGCAACAACGATCAACCTTACTTAGGTCACCTAAATACATACAGTGATATCCTCGAAAAATTGTCAAAATTCTTAAGATGAATTTGAATAATTGTTATTGTTCTATAATTTTTTTATCAATTTTTTTAAGCAACAAAATAAACGTCGAAAAAAATATCTTCGGCGTGAAACATTGAGGGAAATTGGACATTTTCTAAACGTTTGTTAGATTACAAGTATAGTGAAACTAACCTGAAAGATGGACAAGGCAAAGCAAACTTGGGAAGAAATGGGTATCTTAGACCCCAAGGAACGACTTAAAAACCTCTTCGAACGAGCTTCTAAGGTGGAGGTCGATCCAAATACTCCGCCTAGAAGGTAAAACATAATAAGAGATCATATATAATTTATTGTATAAAAATTTATAATTGTTCAACATTAATAAAACAATAAATAATACATTTACTTCAAAATTTCAAAAATTTAGAAGAATTAAAAAATATCTTCAATTTTTAGATATTACCGTAGTGGAGTGGAAATGGTCAGATTTGCAAATATGAACATACAGGAAGGCAACTATGAAAACGCATACACATTATATGTAAAGTTTATAACGTAGGTAATAATTAATGATGAGTAATTGTATTAAAAAATTATGTACCATAATTATATTTTAAATTTCATTGTTTATAATAACAAATTTAAGAATTACATAAGTAGGCAAGTTTTAATTTTTCTCATTACTGTAGACTTTTTGTGGATAAGATAAGAAATCATCCACAATATAATAGTGTATCAGCTAAGGACAAGGAGATGAATAAGCAAGATTTACGAACTATCATTCCTAAAGCAGAAGAACTAAAAAAACAATTACTTAATCAGTATCAAGCAGAGCTAGACAAGTATTTGAAAGATTTAAAGGATAGAGAAAAAATTGAAAGAGAACGTTTAAGACAAGAAGAACTTCAAAGGTAATTAAATATATATATATAAAATATTTAATAAAATATTATGACAAGTAATTATATAAATACAAAAAAATATTCTTTATCATTTTTCGAACTTTTATTAATATACTTTTGGTTTTAATTTTATTATATTTTTTTACTCTCAGGCAAAAAGAGGAGGAAGAAAGAAGAAATAAAATGGATGCTTTGGCTGCTGTTAGAGCAGCAAAGGCTGCTATTAGTGCAAATGTGGTAGTACCGGAGGAGGTAAAGAGTAAGCAGTTGCCCTCCATCATACCTAAGACTGTGATAAGTCCTTCAAACGATGACAAAACGTCTAAGCCCTCCAAAGACATGTAAGTTTCTACTAAAATATATGACTTACAATTACTGATTAAAGACACTCGTAGTCATATTAAGTTATAACGAAAGATTCGTTCAAATTTTTTTGCACTATACGTTGAAATAAAACAATTTTTTGCTTATCGGCACTTAGGTCTGTTAGTATAGATAATATAGATCGATAAGATATATTACATTTGTATGATATTTAAACTTTAGCACGATTTAAATGTGTCAGCAATTTGATATTAATTATAATTAATTTTACAATTTAATAAAACTTTTTATGAATTTTATTTTATAGTTTCTTGACATAAAAATTTATAGTTTCTTTACATAAAAATAAAATACTAAAAAAATATATCATATTTAATGTTATAAATAGCGATATGAAATATTTTATTTAGGAAAACGCCAGTAGTGGACCGTTCGACGAAACCCTCTTTATTGACGAGCGACGGATTATCGTTGCGTGATGTCATTCTACCAAGTAAATTAATGCACGACTTCCTGAAGCTCGCCTTCAGCAATACGATGAGTAATAAAGAGACGTGTGGCATTTTGGCTGGTAAATTGGAACGAAACAAATTGCTAGTGACGCATCTATTAATTCCGGAACAAACTGGCACTCCGGACTCTTGCACTACACATAATGAAGAAGATATCTTTGATTATCAAGATCAGCACAATCTTATCACCCTCGGCTGGATTCACGTACGTAAGATTCATTGTTTTCTACTTTATTTAAATAAATAAAAATCTGTATTATAAGAATTTTTTTCAAATAGGATTATCTAAATTTATTTATGTGTTTCTATTTTATCAATATGTTATGCATTACGTAATTACAGACGCATCCTACACAGACTGCATTCTTATCGAGCGTGGATCTCCACACGCACTGCGCTTATCAACTTATGATGGCTGAAGCGATAGCAATAGTTTGCGCACCCAAGTATGACGAGTAAGTATGACATAAATGAAAGTAAATCTATATAGAACTAAACAGAACTTAGAAGTTAAAGAACTTGTCTTGTTTTCTCGTAATTTATTGTGAAATGAATTCTTTGCAGAACGGGATTCTTTATTCTAACGCCAGATTATGGCTTAGATTATGTTACAAACTGTAGAAAAACCGGATTTCATCCACATCCCACCGAACCACCGTTATATACAGTAAATATATTATGATTTATGATCATTTAATAATAACATTTTAATGTTACTTTTTGTTCGCAATGGTAATGTGAAAATTTTACGCGTTTTTTTTCAGAAAGCAAAACACTGCAAACTGGATGTAACGACCGTCATTAACGTTGTGGACTTGCGAAGAAAATGATACATCTCGGACGCGGGATAATTATATTTTATTAAAAAATATTTTTATAATAATTATATCCTAAAATTGCAATCCACAATAAAAATCGGCGAGCCTTGTTACATGGTTAGGATATATATGATACACAAAATCCGCAAATAATTTAATTACACCGAGAATATTACGTATTGTATTAATAATATTAAACAAACGCATGGCATTTAAAATTTGCAGAGAAAATATATGCGATATATTAATTATTTCTGTGGATAGAAGACAGAGAACAACTAAAAAAGAGAAAGATTATTGCGAATTTCTGTAGATAGAAAACAAATTAATTTAAAAAGGAGCTATTGCAAATTATAATTAATAGAGAGCAGATTGCTATCATTAATTAGATAATTATCCATTTTCGAAGGAAGAAATCATGTTTATACAATTAGTAATAGTAGTAGAAATATAAATAATATTTCTTTTTTCGAATTATGTATATTTATATTATTTATATTATTATGTAAGCGCAAAATCAAATTATTTGTACAAGTAATGCACACTTTGTTATCTTAATGTTTTCTTTTGTTGTGATAATAATATGAACATTGTTACCTTAATATTTTATTTCTTGATTTTTACAATGACACATGCTTTTCTTATATTCATCTTTCACTTACAAAGTATATTGTTTAAAAAATATAAAATATTTTTATATATTTTTTTACAAATTTTTACATTATGGACATTCAATAACCAAAGCGTAAGTGTTCTATTGCTTCTATAATTGGCAAAGTATCAATCTTTTTCGTTTAATAAATTGTTAATTTCAATATTAAGAAAATGTTTACTTGTTAATGGGTTAATTTTTTACTTATTAGATACACGTTTTGATTTAAACAAATTTCGAGTTAAAAATATCTATAAATCTTATTTTTCTGTATAAAAATCACATAAAATTCACGGTGCCTTTTTGAGAGAAACAATGGTGTTCATAATGTTACACTCTAATTACATCGACATGACGTTGGACAACAATTAATCATTTAATATGCAAACTTAGTGATAATTATTATATAATTTATTAAGACACATCAAAAGCTTTATTAAAAGTAAGAGTTTTACTGTGCGATACTATGTAGCATGCATAGAAAAGCTATAAAATATTAGGAATAGATTAATATGTACTACATAGTACTACATATACTATATATGTATTACACGTTGTATTTTCTATATATAGAACCATATGAGGTGTCTACGCAAAGATAAGGGGATCAATAATGAGGATTACGCTCATTAATGACTTATTAACGTAGTGGAGTTTCTCGAGACACCGTATATTTATGTACGATGCCAGTCACTACTTAAATTATAGTTAAAATTACAATTATAAATAAATTAGTGAATTATCAATTATATCCGATATTATTCATATATTCTTAAAATCTAAAAAGAATATTTAAGTATAAGAACAGAAGAGAATAATTTAAAAAATTAAAAAAAAAAAATAATTTGCGTCGTTTCTGATGATTCATTAAGTATAACAAAGCCATGGAATAAAAAGAACTCTAAGAAGCGTTCTGCTCGAATAATCAAATTATTCTTGCAGGGTTTCAAGCTTAAAAGCTTCATCCATAGTTCATGTACATTACACAACGCGCACATTATCTCCATTATCATATTACATTTTTATCAAACAATTTGGAATACATTTGTAATTGCTTTTCCATTAATTAAATTGATTAGAACTACAATGAGAGTTTATTTAATTATTAAGATTAATTGATAATTAAATATTAATGATTAGTTTAATTAAGCAAAGTGATGAAAAAGTAATTAAACAAACGTTCATTAATAAAGTAAGCATAAATCATAAAGTACTCATGTCGCATTTAAACATTACTCTCAGTTATACATTATAAAAATTATTACACAACATATACAGTTATTTATAGTCGTGTCTGTAAATTTCACGACACCCAGTATATAGCATCCGCACATCACCGGTTCGCGAACCTGTGAAATCCCGCAGTTCGCGATCGTCTTCGTCCAAGACGGACCTCGATACAGCGTGTAATTATTCACGATAAAAGTTCTTTGCGACGTGTTGAAAAGTATACCAAAAAATTAATTAATAATAATTTAAAATAATTTAATTGACTACCCGACATATTATAAAATATATATAAGTAAAAATGTATATAAGTTTCAATATAAAAAATGCATAATAAATACGTAACAGTAATAAATTAAAATAAATCATTAAAACATAATAAATTATAAAAGAAATAAAATAATGCAATAATATTAGTGATAAGTGTGTGTATGAATGCAATAATAAACAAATCTAGGGATTATACTTATAAATTTGAGATTCTCAAGAATTTGTGAAATGCTAGAAAATCGAGAAATTCTTCATGCTTGACAAAGGTATGTACGCATTTTTAATTACTTTATGAAATAAAGTGTATAATAAGCAACAATATAATTATATTTCATACTAAACATTTGTTAGTTTTATATTTAATTAGTCTCACTTGTGTTAAATATTCATTTGAGAATTTGCTACTTAATTACTTTGCTGCGTGTAAAATTTTACTTGAGTTTAAATAGCATATAAACTTTGTTTATTTGTTGATGTAAATTGCATATAACTTTTAATTATTTTTATAATAGTTTACTATCATTAAATGATAGTATAATAATAAATATTGCAAATGCTATAATATGTACTGAATTTAACTGAGTTGTAAAAAATATATATATATGATAATTAATCGAATAATATAACCGGTTTTTACGTCTGACATTTTTGTTCAACGAGAATAAAATTTATAATAATTAAAAAAATCCTGTTAACGGAATTTCTGGCTACGCCGTTCATGCTTTCATTATTAAATACGAAACTCACGATCATAATACTGTAATCATGCTAATAGCACGTAACATGACGTTATGCTACAATGAGTTACTATCTCCATTCCTTGCATGTTTGCATATAACGCGAGCAATTTGTTACTGTTCTGTGAAATGTGTATTTTTTTCTTTTGTTAAATTAGTTTGCTGCAAAATTACGAAATTTTATATCTACGTATTTTTATCAAACAAGAATATTCTCTTTTAATACACATCATTTATATATTAAATACATTATATTTACTAAATATATTAAATATATTAAGTACACAAAAGTACAAGCTGACAGTTAAGATGTTACTGACAAATTGGCTATTATCTATGAAAAAATGCATACAATTAAAAAAATCAAATAGTCTTAAATAGAAGAAATTTGTTGCGTATATGCAATATAAAAGTTACATAAAACAATTTAATGAAAAAATTTAATATTTTAAAATATTTAAACTGTTTGATTTTTTCAAGTCTAGGCATTTATGCCCAAGAAATAGTTAAATAATTTCAATAATATCCTTATTGTCATCTCATATATGTGTAAAAATTATATAAAAAATAAATTTATATTCAATATGCGGCATAATAACGTGACTCTCTTGGAATGAAAATGAAGACGCGCGAATATGCCATGTAAAGAAGCAAAATAACGGAGCTGACTTGCACGGTTACTTTGTCACAGTGAACCACAAGCACGTGTTCTGCATTCTCGTTGGATTCTTTACAATCCCATCAAAAGCGAATCGTGCATCCCAAATTCATCTTTTCAACAGCTACAAAAGTTAATCCTTACAACCTAATTCTAGGCTTCACAGAATAAGTCCTTATAGAACAAATACTATTTTTAGAAACGATTTTTTTATATACGTTATAAATATATTAATTTCGATTTTATTTTATTCGTTTAATTAATTATACTTAATTTATTTTTGTATTCAAATATATAAAAAAAGAACACATTATTATGTATACGAATGAATATGAATAAAATTATTTTAAAATATTTTATTTAAACATACAATTTTAGAATATTTTCAGATATTTTATTGTTAAATATTTACCTTTAAAAAAGCTGACAAAACTAATTACGCTGTTGATTTCAGCCGGTCGATCACGACACGACAGTGATAACAAATTACTGGTTGAAGAAAAGTGCAATCTCATCTTATCAAAGTCCTTGAAGAAAAATATTTAAGATTCTCGATATGTGTGTGTATGTGCTGCAAAGACAATGGACCCTTATTTTCATGATTTCAATTTTCGGTAAAATAAAATTATTATCTAAATTATTTAATTCGTTTAATCATGCATTTCAGAATTCAATTTTTTTATATATAAATTATTTCAATCTTGTAAAGTTGGTATCGAGATTATATTTATCATATTTTTTTGCAATAAATATTTAAACTTTATCGTAGAATTAATGTAAATAAATAATCAAATGTCTAGCAAGCGGAATTTCTTCCACGACATTGGAAAGAAGCGTATTGCCACATTCGGGTGGGTCAATGACAAACAAAACTGTTGCAACGACGGTGGACTATGAAAGAGGTAAGTGCAACGAACTCTCTCTTACTTTGTTACAATTATATGCCGCTTGATTGACATTTAATATTCACCTCGCGTGCTTAGCTGCATAATGTTATGGAGCAAGAGAAGCCTGCTTATACAAGGTGACAAAAGCGACGAAATAACTCAGTTTAACTTTCAATATGAGTATTTTGTCAATAAAAATGGTTAATATAAAATTAATTGGTCAATAAATAAGATAAATATTTCTAATTATGTAGTACATAAAAAGTTAATCAATGGAAAAAAGAATTTAATGTTATATTTGCTGTTAATTTCAACACCTTTTTGTAACGTGTCTTAATATATAAAACATTTTTCATCCTTTCATTTATTAAAAACAATTTTATTTGCACTAATAAAAATTCTTATTAGCATCGACACTGAGACCGGGATACTACTTTGCTTTTCGTCACCCTGTAAAAACGAATTTCTACTGAGTCACGATACGTCAGTGATAAATAAAAACCGATAAAAAAATTCGTTATAAGCTAATCATTACCTATCTATCGATCGTAGAGAAAATGACGTCAGACGTAAAAAATTCCTCTGAGCTACCTGAACACTTACCGAATGGAATGACGTCTTTGGAAAACGAAAAGGAGAACGGGAATTTAACGAATTGTCATTTGACGGATGAAGCGAAGGATATGCTCGACTGTATCGTCGTCCAATTAGATGATACTGCGAGCAATCAGCCGACAGCAAATCGTAGGGCACAATGTCATTTAATCAATTTTAAGATCTTTTAAGATCAATTTTTACATTTCACGATATGTACTTTTTTTTATTTTGTTTGTATAGTATCACAGGAAATGCCGACTGTTACAAACAAAACAAAGCAAAATACCTTCATGTATAACAATACATACCCCCCAAAAATTTTTCCCAAAGATAAGAATATAAAGAGCATCGATAAAGCAGACGAGGCCACTCGAAAAAGATTGAATCTTACCTTGTACACAACATCGGAAGAGATTGCAGATACGTCATCCACTATAGGTAAATCGTTCTTTAAATCTTACTTTTCTCTTCTTTACTTCCATTGAATTCGGTCTATTCGACAGCATAATTTTTTAAGCGCCAAACCTCCGCGATCTGTTGTAGAAAATATTAACATAAAAATAATTTAAAATATATTAACAATCAGGAAAGTCAAATAACATACATGTGAATATATATAACTTTAGTTCTCTCATTTATTTATTTTATATTTGTATATTTATTTTTAGATTTTTTTATTTGAATATTTCAATACTTATTTTATTTTTATTAAATTTATTTATATAATGTAACTCTTTTCAATCATATAAGAATTCTTTTTCATTTTTTTTACTACAGCGATGAATAAAAAAAGTAATGGAAAAAATATGAATGCTACAATATCATTAATGAATAACAGAAATAATATTCAAGATACAGGCTTAGAGAATAATTTAGAGATTACAGCACAGAAATCTAAAGATAAGGAAGGAACGTCATGGGGAATGATCATGTTGATCATGATGCTCACATTTGTGGTAACGATATCGATAATCTACGCCAGTGTGATGGTGTGGAAACGTTATTTTGAGTAAGTCGATTAATGATTAATTAATTATTAACTGTTTTTTTTAAAGTAAAATACTTATTAATACTTACAAATTATTTATATTTTAATAAATCCTTATTCAGATATAAATGCAACAATCGACAATTGTTAGACAATGACTCAGAGTTCGATGCAAACGACTTGCATCACTTCGAGGTAAGTAAAAATCACACAATAAATAAAATATGTGAGAAGACCAGCAGCTATTGATCTGAAAATATATATAAATAATTTTTTACAGTTATGATATCTCTCTACCTCTCAGAGAAATATCTGAAGAAAACAGTTAATTCACGAATGTCAGTTTAGTTGTTACAAAGCAATGTTAAGTCTTAATGATCTGTGATATGTTACAAAAGTGCATAGAGAAATTTTAAGCTAAATATAATTCTTGGAATTGTGAATAGTATTTTTTCCAAGTATGTGCAATTTAATGTAAAATAGAATATTTTTTCATAACAAATCTGCTATGCCATTATAATTAAAACTTTGCAATTGTGAAGTTAAATTAGTTATTATTAAGCATCTCAAATATTAAAAATGACTTTTGTTATTTAAGTGCTACATTTTTATTTCTACAATTTTAATAAATTGTACTATGAGATGTAAATATTGCGGATTTAATAAATTACTAATATATTCTTGTAGTCAAAAAATGCTTTTCATTAAGATTAAATTTACATGTATAATTAAGTAGATGAATTTACAATTGTAAAAATATTATTAATAATAAGTAGTATAATAAATTTCATACGTCCTATATACAATATTTTTGCTAAAAAATAACTGCTCCAGATATACCTGAAAAGGAATTATTTTTCAATAGTCAATATACCTAACAATATAAAACCGTGTATATATAGGAAATAAATTTATTTATAATCCTTCCCTTAAAATTCCCAGACATCTTAAAAAACAAATTGGCAAAGACGATATTTTACAAAATGTATCTACAGAAAAGGGTATAAATATATATATACATATATATTGAATCCCTCATCATATATCTAGCTACACTGTGGCGCATAAATATCTTACAAAGGTGAACAACAGATGTGATGACAATCTTTAGGCTTTTTTATTTGTGATGACGAGCGGACCCACGTTGTCGCCGTGCTCATTATTGTGACGCCCGTGAGTGCCATCACAGTACGGCCACTGTATATGAAAAGTGATTAAATCCAATTAATATATTAAGCATTCAGCAATTAAAAAATTAGAAATTAGGCAATATATTGACATAAATAAATCTAAATTTATTATAAATAGTAATAACTTTCTTGTATATATTTTCAGAATTGCTAAGTGTCAAGAAATTGTAAAAATGTGTATCAACCTAAATCAAGGCATTCTTTTATTTTACACATACCTTGCAATCATATTTTCAAAGTAGTTAAACCGATTAAAATTCCATTTCTTATATTAAAAGATAAAATAAAAATTTAAGATATATTATTTGATTTTTAAATTATAAGAAACTTACATTTTCAGACCTCCAACAACGACAAAACACAGCCTTTTCAGAGATATCTTCTATGTCAACAGTATCTACTACTTTAGCAACATCCTTCCTTACTTTTAGATTAACACGACCACATGGCTGCAAAACAAATTAATCACATTAGAATAATGTTATTAATTATATGGATTTTTATTTTGATTATGCTCATTATATTATATCTTCTATGTTCAAAATAAAGTAAGATATCTTCAATTTAACTGAAGCAAGATAACTTCAATCTAAATGAATTTTTTTATTAATCAATCTTTTCTAACAAAAACGTTGAAAACAGTCATCTGCAATTTTCCAATTGAATAACAAAGCCTAAATAAAGATTCTATAAAACTAAAATAAAAATATTTCAGATAAATTTATACAAGATTGTGAATTGTGAGACACCTCTAATAATGGACAAGTTCATAGCGAATTTATAACAAACCCAAACTAAAAAAGAAAGTCATCTGGAAATTACATAACTTCTCTAATCACATGCTAATAGATCCACATAGATTTGCTGTCGTCCTTGATATTTTCTAGAATGAATAAATATGAGATACCGAGTACTCACCACGGGTCTACCATGAGGGCAAAATGCCCTGTAGGACATATATCCGAATCCCACGAGAAGAGCGGTAGGCGGCAAGAGTGCGAGCCAGTCTCTTACTGATATGATAAAAAAAAAAAAAACAAGATGAATCAACAAGATGAATCAACAAGAAAGTTCAACAATACATAATACTGAAAGGTTATGTTAAAATTGGCACACAGTGCAATGTAATTAATTGTTTCAGTAAAATGCGAAGTGTGGCGCAAAGAAATTACCTCCCAGACGAAACCATCCTCCTATTGAATCAGGAATAGGTAAAGCGGCCAAATAATTTGGAACAGACTTTTTAACGAGATGTGCGAACGGCTCCATGTTCACTGATGTTCACTCGGTTGCACTCGGCTGACTGGTAATTGCACCAATCACCAGCAACTGATGCAATGCTGGATCCAATTCAATGAAAGCCCTTCGCAAACTATATCAAATTAAATATTACGCATAATTACTTTTCCGGCATAATTTGTATACAATGTCTACTCTTGAAAGTACATAGTGAATTATTTTCACGAGACAAATCTTGCCATTGCGATTTCGAGCGCCATTTACACGCGCGTTGAGAAAATAAAGAACATCCGTGGGTCCGTGTTCATATACACTCCTGACCATGTCGCGTCACGTGATTGGCGAACGAGACTTTGGTGGAAGAAAGCAACGACGAGGTGAAGGACCGGCGGCACGCACAGGTGGCGCCGCGCGCTCGTTCAGTCAGTCGCGGGGTGTCAGCCGGTTAGCTCAGGTAAGAGATTCATTTTATATTGTACTTACCTGCGAGAGTTTCGTCGATTCGCGACGCTACCAAGTGTGTTGCGCCCATCCACAACGCCGTGTCGCTATCTCGCCGTTTAACCTGCTCCCGCGGGAGTGGTGTCGCGTACGCGTGTGCAGTGTGAATCTCGAGTAGCGCTTATCGTGTCTTCTTTCTTCTCTGCACAATGGAATGAGAGCGAGAGAGACCGATCGTAGCCCACGATCGTTTCGCAGTGCGGCGCGAGGAAGAGGAGAGGGCGCCTCCTCGTCCCGCGCGTGGGTGTGCGTGCCCGAGGGATAGGATACACCGTCGTTGGGAGACAGGAGGGCGGAGGACGAGGATATAACCCAAATAAAAGTTGTGCGTCCTTTACCCTTTATCTTGCTTGATTGTGTGCAGAAGTGCGGGAAGAGTGCGAAACAGTGAAAACGTGACGCGCGGCAAATGACAGCAAAGAGGTGAGGATCAATGTGCTGTGATGGCTGAGGAGGAGCTGCTGGTCACCCTGTGCCGCGGCGACTCCGGCTCCGGCGGTTCCTTCGGCTTTTCGTTGCTCGGCGCTTCGGCGTCGGCGGGCCTACCGGCCGCCCACGTCATCTACGACATCGTCGAGAACTCGCCGGCGGCCAGGAGCGGCAAGGTGAGTTACAGGACACCATGAAACAGAACTTGATGTTGTAAGGTCGATTTTCGCGCGGACGCGAAAGGGGGAAGTGATTTTTGTAAATAAATTTTACGAAACGCGACAATTTTTGTGAGAATATTTGCATATTTATGGCAAGTGGAAAATTGATCTTTGATGAAGAAATGCGACGATTGGCGTTTTTTTTTGCATATCGTTTTAGCATCGGAAATTAATTTTTAAGAATAAACACATGAATAAGCATTGAAATGAATAGCACTGAATGAATAGACGGAACTGCAAGAAATTAAACTGTCATAAGCTCTTTTATATACAAGCTCTGCAAAGTGATATCACACTGGTTTAAAAGAAAACGTTGCGTATTCGTAACGATATTGACTGGTTATGCGTTAAGCATAGTTTAATTTACGTGATTTAAGTGCTTAATTTTTCTTTTTTCTTTGAAAAAAAAAAGAAGATATTGTCTACAGAATGTATCATTGAATGTAGTTGCTTTACGAGCATTTCGTGCACTTATAAAAGCGAAGGATAAAGTACACTTTAGCACTTGGAGAAGATGATGCTCTTCTTGATGGTCTTCTTTAAAGCACACTTGATACACACAGATAAGAATCGATCAGTTCTAAGCACACCCTAAACACTCGTGATACATTGGCTACGTTGTAAAGATAATATATATTATCTTTAAAGGAATTTTTAGTTTCGACACTTTATTACAAAAACAAGAGTATTGGTCATTATTTATTTTCTAACTTTGTGTTTAACGTTATTTTTAAAAATACAATAATTAGCAGAATTGACGATAATTGTCCAATTAAATTAAAATACTATTTATTATAAGCATTTTAGTTTAAATGATTTATTTAATTAATACTAAATAAAGTATTCTGTATCGTCTTTTTAAAATTAAATTTATAATTCTCAAATAAAGTTACTTCTAAATTAATAGTAATAATTTGCGATTTTTTTATAATTAATTCAGATAAAATTTATAAATTTGAAGACATTAAATTATTATTATTTTTAAAATTATGTTAAATTAAAAAAGATAAACATAAGCATTAAAGAGATAAAATTATCTTATCTGTCTCTCTATTTACATTGTTAAGCCTTGCTATTGTCTGAAAGAAAAGAAAGATTGATTAAATGACTCGAGTGTGTAGCTAAATCATTTTTATGTTACAAATAAACAACTTAAATAACATTTTGTTGAAAATGGAAAAGGCTAGTCAATGGTCAAAGGCTGGTTACGAATTTCGCACGAGTCTACGAAGCTAAATTTAGTTTTGACGCTGGAGGAAAAAATGACGAAGACGATGATGTAAAAAACGAGAGTGCATCAGCTGCATTCTTTCTGCATAGTTTCGCGAATAATGCAATAAATGAGTAGAAATTTTGTGGTCAAATTTTTTAAACATTTGCTAGGAATAAGAGACAAAAATAAAGTAGCACAAACATTAAATTAATATTAATCACTAAAAATAATGTCAAACTAAAATTTATTGCTATTTAATATTAATATTTTAATTTTATGTTTTTCAATAAGCATCAGAAATAGTGCTAAAAAATGCTGGTTATAAATTTTTTAGATTTTTAATATAGAGAAAAATATCTCACATAACAATAAAAGTTAACAGCAAGTAAATCAGAGTCAATTTCTGACGTTATATAAAGAATTCTAAAATATAAACTTAAAGATATCTTAAAACCCATTTATCTTTATTTTAAGCAATATTGCACCAAGGGAGAATAATTTTGTCCCGCTTTACGTTTCTCGATCAGCTGACTTTTCAATAAAGAGAGCTGCTCTTGACGATCATTGAGCGTTCCGAGGAAGATGTTGAGCCTCTTGAAATCGTTGGGCACAGTTTCTGTGCGAATGTCGGGATACGGACAGTTGGTCCAAACTGGTCCATCGTCCCAGACCAGATCCAGCCCTCCGATTCTTGTCTCACGACCGCTGAAACGACCCTTTAGGCATAATTATCAACTTATGTAGAATATCCTTTTAGAATTATTTTTTCGTATATAATATAGAATAAATTCTATTTAAAGAAATATATAAGAGATGATAAAAAATGACTCTTATCGGAAATGAATAAATAACTAAATATATCTTTGTAGGTAAAAAGATTTATTTCAACTGCACCTCGAAGTCGAGGACGTTGAGAACGTCGTCGACCAAGTTGAACTTGAGACGATAGTCCTCGCTATCAGTGCCCGTTAAGGCAGGGGACGCATTGACCTCCAACAACCAAGGTCGCAGATCGTCGCTCAGCAGTACATCATAGCCATAGAGCTCAAAACAGTTACGATCCTGCATAATAGCCGGTTGTACTGCCAACAGGCTCGCCATTATCACACCTAGAAGAAAAATAACTATCACGTATTTCTATATATATTTAAGAACGAAATAATATCTCATAAATACCTGTGATGCGTTGCATCAAGTTTTCAATCATTTCCGCTCCATGATGAACTATTAAGTAATCTTTAAGCTTGCTCAAAGCCCATTTGCAGTCCCGCTTCCGACTTTCATTTTCCGTCGACGGGATACCTTTGGTATTTTCATCTGTCTTTAACTGTATTGCCATGTTTGTCAAGTGCGCTTTATTATCTCCGATATTTTCCAGGTCGAACAATCGGCCACATAAACGGGCAAAGCCTTCCCTAGCCAGCCAGACTTTCAGAGGGTGAAATGATGTCACTAACACGTAAATGCGCAGATCGAATTTTCGCCCTGAAATCAGAGATTTATTACTCGTCACTGGACAGAGATAAAATATAATGGTAATAATGGTATATAATGGATGGAACCAGTTTACGTGATTTTTGAAAGGTTCGTTAATTGGATGATTCATAAATAAGTGCCGTTTTAATATTAAAATTGAAAATTTTATTTAAAATGTTACAATAAATTTTAGTCAATTGTGTTTTATTAAGTACAATATGTTCCCATTTAGATAGCAATTTGTTAATTTCTTCCTCGAAGAATTCTGAAGGTTTTCATGAAACAAAATATTGACAAAGTCATGAATTTTTGATCATAAGGTAAAAGTAATCCAAGAAAAAATTCTGAGACTTTCGTGGTCGGTTTTACCACACCCTTTTTACTCTCCTAACAGACCTGCCTGTTCAGGTCACTGCAAAATGCATTGAATTTTGGAAAACTTTCCGAAATGATGTAGCAATTCATGACTTTGTCGATACCTTTTTTCATCAAAACCTCCAGAATTCTTCGAGGGAAGAATTAATAAATTGCCATCTAAATGGGAACAAGTTCTACTTAATAATGGTGAATGCACAATTGATTAAAATTTATTGTAACATTTTAATTGAATAAAATTTTCAATTTCAATATTAAAACGGCACTTATTTATGAATCAACCCAATATATTAAAATATAAATTGAATTTGAAGAAGATCAACTGAGAAGTCAGAAGTTGAACCTGCGACGAGATAAGGATTATCTATGTATCTCTGAACGACGTAAGTCTCGGTTGAGGTTCCCAGCTGCTGCGAGGCAGCTTTGACCTCTCTACTCTTCCACTCCGCCAGACTCTTCAATTTTCTGAACAGAAAGATGCCCCTGCCTCGCGACTTTGCCACTGGTTTGACAATCCACGTAGCTCCTTGCTGCCTATAATTATTATCTATCATCAGTGTATAAATCAGAATTTCATTTGATACATTTGTAACACAGTGTGAAAATATGAACATACTGATAAAATTTAAACAAAGATAGAATCATGAGAGGCAATTAATTTTTGGCATAGAAATTGAAAGTGAACACGTTTTAATTAATATAAAATGATAAATGGTCATAAATAAACAATTCTACTTGTGATATTCCTCGACGAACATCCGGTAGTCGCTGGGTAGCTCATAAGTCATAGGCATAGCATCGCAGATGCAGGCTTCGGCCGTTTTTCCGGCCCTCGTAAGGGTCTTCCGGTAGCGCTTGAGGTTGCGACACAGGTAATTCTTACGCGTGAGCTCGTAGTGGTTGCGGAAGTGCGACACCCGCTGGTGAGGACGTAACTTCTTCCGATCTCTATCAAGCGCCTGCCGCAACACATCGCCCGTTTCGCACCACCATAGATGCCAGCTGGCATCTTCAGGGTTGACTATCTCGAAGAATAAAGGGAAAAGTAACTCTCTAATTATTACATTAATTCTAAGATATCTCATTCTTATAAAAAAAAAAAGGAGTTCTTGATTTATCTTCTTGAAATTCTCTTTAAAATTCAATTAATAAATCCCTGAAATTTAATGCGCGGGCAATTAATAATAAAGTAAATAGAGAACAAGATATTGCAATAAATTGGCATGTTAAAATTCTTCTTTTATGTACTTTTTAATGAAATTTTTTCTTTTTCTTTTTTTTTTAAGGAAAAAAAATAAACATATTCCGTAGCACTAAAATTACCTGGGTCCAACCTCTCGCCAGCATTACTTCGACGGGCGTCGAAGGGAAATCACAGCGGAATTTGACGGTCTTGTCCTCATCGTTCTGTCTCTTCTTTGAGTCGCAGGATCTTTTCTCTCCGCCAAATAATTCTATCGTTTCGATCTCCGTAGAAATCAACTGCGATTCCTTCGACATCCTCCGCGTGCTATTCATGAATTATTGAAATAACTGGTCTGAATTATTCAGATTGATTAAGGGCGATTTGCATTTATTCGTTTATATAGCACGTTTCAAGAAACTCAATTTTCCCCCAAGCCTCTGTGATTGGAATTATGATTTGAAATTAATACCGATTGCCTATACCTTTTTAATCAATTTTCGATTTTAATTAATTATATTTCGACTTCGGAGAAACTCTCCTTTTCTTCCCCCACTCATCAATTACTATGTCATACATTTATTATCATATGGTATTGGTTTTTTTTTTTCTTAAAAAAATGTACACTCACTGACCAGTAAAAGGATCAATATATAGGCGTACAATGATTTTGCTTGAACTGCATCATCGCGTGAGGAACGACTTATTGGCTAACGGCCCGAGGAAAGTCAATGTCATTGCGAGGTCCGAAAATACATTTGGCCAGTGGCCGAGACCTGCATTTTCCAACTGAAATACGATCAGTCGCATTTCATCGATCGCGTATCGTGAATGCTTTTTCAGCTATCGAAGAATTTTCAAAGTTCTCTAAAGTGTATTAAAAGTGCTTTGGATGCCCAGACTCGCGTCTTGTCTGTCGTGCTGCTATGGACCTCTTGATCTCCTCCTAGGGAGACATTGTAGGGAGGATAGATTCGATTACATTGAATATATACCGCTTTACCAGGTGCAGCTTGCAATTTTGTGTAAAGAAACTTATCAAAGTAATTATATAACAATAAAAGAGATTAAAAGATAATGTGTTTAAAGGAATTGTTATCGTAGTTTTTATTTAAAAAAGTTGATATTGTATGCTAATATGTATTATTATTAATTTACTTCTGAAAAATTAACATTTACTTTAAGAAATGTGTTGTACCTGAGTATTTATTATAATATTAAACGTTAAACATGCTCAATTTCATCAAGCTGTTCTATCTTTGCGTGCAACAACGTGAATAGTTCTGCATTTTAATGAACGGGCAAATCGTGATGTTGATTGATAAGAAAACTGGTGCGGATAAACTGGAATCCTTTCGCTCAACTTTTCTCGCCTCCGACTTCATTTCGTAACAGGACTCGCTTTGGTTTCAGACTTTCACGCGGACCGCGTGCATTTTCGATCGGCACATATTCGATAATTACATTAACGCGATTGGATAATTGTATGTATATTATTATATCAGAGAATTAAACAGAGTGAAATGGTTTAATGAATTCAATTAAATACCATGGATGGAGATGAGCAAAGAGAATTAAGCAAATACAATCATGTGTTGGTGTGCAACGTATACATAACTTGTATCGTGTATACACAATTTTCATGGGAATGATTTTGTTTGATTTTTTTCAGGTCGAAGCTGGCGACGTCATACTCAGGGTGAACGAAGTCGACGTCAATCGATTCAGTACAAAAGAAGGTGAGAATGCTTTGTATGCACCCATATTGATTTTTAAAACAAAGATTCGTCGAATTGAAACTCAATTATTGTTATTTCAGCCCCCATTGATTATTCTAAAACCGTATACATAGAAATATAATATAAATTTATTAACTCTAAGACTCGGCTTAAAGATAGATCCTGCTAAATTTTATATTTTTATTGTTTATATTATTTAGCTTGCACTTTTGAGACACTTGATATGCGATTTTCTTCGTCCTTGTGTTGCCAGTCAGTCTTTTCTTGCATCTGTATTCCATTATTTATTGTAAATTAAACGTCATCGTTCAAGACGATGGAACGCAATTTGTCGTAATTCAATGTCGTAATCTACAATGGATTAGTCAAGAAATAGATCTCATCAGCTGGCATGGCCATCGAAATTAAACTTGATAACACATCAGAGAATAGAATCTGTAAGATAATTTGTTAAAAGCTAGCATAACTTTATTAATTTTTTAATAGAGATAAGTCAGTTATTAATATTGATATTAATTATTGAATTAATATAAATTTCGAAGTAAATAATTATAATTAACGCTACGAAATATTATATTCTGAATTAAATTAAATCGCGATGTATATAAATTTTGAGATTGTAAGTCTTTACAATTACACGATGCCATCTGCGACGCGGAGTCAGTTAAAGGTCAAAGTTTATAACTGGCCGAGATGAATGTAATGAGCCACGTGAATAGAGTAAAACATCGGCCTGCTAAATTAAGTCGGAGTCAGATCAGACATTGCTGCCTGGAAGATTTATCGTCACCCAACGCGTCCTCATCAATCACTCTTTTCGTTTTCCAGCACATTTAAAAACATGATGTTACACCAAATTTATATTAACAATATAATTTATCTCTTTTGAAAAACAAACAATGGCATATATGTAAATGAAAATAGAAACACAAGAGTATAAATATAAACCCAGATTTTAAAGTTAGTTGTTTTAAAATTAATTCATTCTATTGATCTATTTCAGTGCTGAAATGTCTCCGGCTATCTTCGGATCCCGTCACCCTCAAGCTACGAAGGGGTGAGTGAAACCTCTTAATAATACACGATATCAGATTTCGCGAATGCTCAAAATCTCTGTTACGTAAAAATCATTTTTATTATATAAAATTTACGTATTTTAATTTTGATTCAATTATATATTAATATAGCTTTATATTTATTTAATATACATTAAATCTCGTAGAATAAAATTCTTTCATATCAGTTGTATCGCACAAATGTGCAATTTGCATCGCGCGAGGCTGGTGAACTCTCACGATCGAGAGCGATCTAATGATAGATCACTGTCGGCGCGCGTTCTTGAACCTGACAGTGTAGTAATAATAGAATTAACGCTGTAATAACGCAGCAGCAAACACGGTAAACAGAGGAAGTTACGCACCCACCCTGCGGAAGGGGATGGCCGATGACCAAGGGCGCGCGATTATTCGCACGGGCAGGTTTCAAACGATGTGTGAGGTTGACAAACGATTTTCTGTCAGACGACCGCATCGATCTCTCCTGGAATGCTTTTAAGTTGTTTTTTTTCGCAAGTTTTTTCACCAGAATGCTTTTATTATTATGTCATTATTTTCATCGTTTAAAGCGAGTAAATAAATTTGTTAACGTACGCTCATTTAAATTTATTTAGCAATACTGGCAAACAATTTCGCAGACAAATCCATCAATTTTTCGTTTTCTAAAAAGAGGGTCTTGCGTTTCTTTTTTTATCATTATTACGCACACACACGTACAAACTTCTTAGAATATTTTTATCATTATAATATTATTATCTTACAAGTTAGCTTATAAATATTTTAATTATTAACAATAGTAATCTATTTTTCTCACGATTATAAGTTTTATAATGGATTTCTCGGTTAATTTTTAATTTTTATTCTTCTTCAGTAAAAAAGTATTGGTACATATTTATAATTTTCAAGCTAAAAGTAATTGGCAGATAAGTGCTTGTAATGAGAAGACAATAAACATGAGTTTGAAGTAATATTCTTGAGTGAATTTCGAATAAACTTTGAGAGAATTGTAATTTTCAGCTCAATTATAAAGATATAGTGTTGAAACGTTGTATCGATATGCTTAGGAAATTGATATCAAATGGCTAAATGACAAAAACTAAGTCGCGTTTGTTGTTTAAAAATATAAGTGTAATAATATCATGTGAGCAATTTAGATGTTAAAAATAAATTCTACGCAGATCCTGCAGTAAAGGCACACGTTCGCCGCCTTCTTTCTCCCGCACAACCCTCCAACGACGGCAAGACAGAATCTTCGAAGGACATCCTGGTGAACAATCCGAAGAATGTCGCCACTTGTGGCAATATAGAGAACAAGGAGCTCAGGAAAACGCCGGGCATGCCGGAAGTATCCGCAAATTCGTCAACGCCTACGCCGGTGGCGGCGACGAGGAGCAACGGCTCGTGCAGCGATGCGTCCGTCTCGTCGGAACTAGAGGCACTTCTACCACCCGTGGACAATTTCAAGGAAGAAGAACGGACCCAATGGGAACCCCTCTCTGCCGAGAAATTTCCTCGACAAAAAAATACTCCTAGGTATAGATTTGATAGATACTTTCCATTATTGAAAAACAGCAATTTATCCCTATAAAATTGTGAAACTTATTGGACATTTCTTGTATGTATAATGATTTACTGCAACATACCGTATCAGAAATAAAAGTGATCATCGATTTTTCAGGTTTGAAGCATACATGATGACCGGCGACCTGATGCTGAACCTCTCGCGCACGCAGCAGAGCAGTAATTTGCTACCGAAGCAGCATCAGCAGCGGAAAGTCGACTCCCTTAGGTACAACCCCAATCACCAACACACTACTACCATCACCACCACCAGCACCCATCACAATCACAATCACCATCATCATCACCATCATCACAACTCGGTGCCCAGCAGTCCCAATGAGACCCAACTGGGCCACCAGCACCACCATCACCATCGAGGAAATGCCTACAAGGCCTCCAGCTCGGCTAGCACGTCGCCCGTGGGCGCTGCAAGGCGTGACGGGGCTCAGGGCACCCCGGGTGCTCTAGTCCAGGTCGATCCTAGCAAGAATACTCCCTCGAGCTTCGGTTTCGTGCGTACTTCGCGATCGGAGGACCATCTGCAGTTCCAAAAGGACCCGTCGATGAGCGCCGTGGACATCGACATCGACGATGACGTCACCTCGAGCCTGAACACACTGCTGGACCCGCGACCAGAAGGCCTGATGTCGAACGAGCGAATTGTTTGGACCTACAACGCGCCCGTCAGCTCGCCGGCCGCTTCCTGCTGCCAAAACGGTGGCTCCTCATCCTCATCCTCTTCTTCATCATCCTCCTCGACAAGCCCGCAGCGTTCTCTGTCCCCCGCCTCCCCCACTTCCGTCTCATCCTCCGTTATGTCCTCCAACTCTGGATCCCGCAGGTTCCCGCCGGTTCAGACTGTTCCTGGGGTCTCCGGCGCCCCGGGTGGTCATCTTCCCGCTAATGGCGATCTCAGCCAGTCGGAGGCTATAAGCAACATGTCCAGTCCGGACTACAACGACGAAGAGACCATGGATATTCTTAGCGCGAGGGATATCATGATGGTGAGCGATCCCAGCGACAGCGATTCCACCATCTTGGCGAGCGAACCGCCCCAGAGGAGGCTAAAGGCCAATCCTCAGGATGCTGGAGAGCATAGAATCGTGATCCAAGTGAAGGGACCCGACAAGGAAACCCCGCGAAACACGAGTCCTAGGCAGATGAGGAGAAGGGGAAACCCCAGTAGCGAACTGATCTCTCCTGCCGCACCTCAAAATTTACAAAGAAATCAATCCGGAGTCCCGGGAGTTCCTGGGATCGTCACGGGATCCTTGGCGCCCGAATGCGTGGGTTATCAGGTAATTTGAAAGAATTGTATTAAGCTTACTATTAGTTCTATTATTATTTACTCATTCACCGTCGAATTTCTAGGAATTGAAAGAAAGCGAGGATGAGAGAGAAGCTTTGATGGGTGGAATAGGCGACGAGCAAAAGGGCCACGGGAGTGGCGCGTCACCGCCGCAGTCAGCGGATGAGGAGAGCGACATCGAGAGCTTGCACAGCTTTCACTATAGTCCGAAAGCGGTAGATTTGCCCTCCGCTGTTCGATTGGCCAAACGTCTCTATTCACTGGACGGTTTTAAGAAATCCGATGTCTCCAGGCACCTTAGCAAAAAGTAAAAACTTCTTTGTACAACTGTACTGTTGCTTATAAAATATTGAACACGAAGAGTTTCAGTTTTATGAATGCGCAATGCTTTGTGTTCGCAGCAACGACTTTAGCAGAGCCGTGGCAGAGGAGTATCTGCGCTACTTCAACTTCGAGCGAGATACGCTAGACGTGGCTCTCAGAAAATTCCTCGCTCAATTCTCTTTGACGGGAGAAACGCAAGAAAGAGAGAGGGTTCTGGTCCATTTTTCTAAAAGATATCTGGACTGCAATCCCGGTAGTTTTAATTCTCAAGGTGAGTGCAATATTTGTCTTTGAAATTGGAATTTGTTTAAAACACATTAGAATTGAATAATAATATTTCTAGAGATAATATGAAAATTAATATTTATCCAGATGCGGTTCACACGTTGACTTGCGCGATAATGCTGCTCAATACGGATCTACACGGTCAGAACATCGGTCGGAAGATGTCATGCTCGGAATTCATCGAAAATCTATCGGAACTTAACGATGGTGATAACTTCCCGCGCGAGGTGCTTAAGCAGCTTTACAACGCCATTAAATCGTTTCCTCTTGAATGGGCCTTGTAAGCGATCAATATTCAAGAACAAAATATTATATAATTAATTTATATACATACAATAATATAAGAATTGGCTTTTGTTAGAGACGAGGAAGGGGATGAAGTGACGAACCAGGTGATCCAACAGGGCGACGGTGCGGCGGCAATGGCCGGCACCGGAAATCCATTTCTCGACGTGCCAAATATCACGGGCGCTACAGAGTTCAAAAAGGGCTACGTTATGCGCAAATGTTGTTACGATTCCAACGGTAAAAAAAGTACGTATTTCTTAAATTATCTCTTATAATAAAATGTGATAACTGCAATATTTATATCATATTTTATAATTAATTTTGAATATTGTTTCTTACCTTTTTTTTTTTTTATTTGTCGTTATACAGCTCCGTTCGGTAAGCGAGGCTGGAAAATGTATTATTGTACGCTACGCGAGCTTGTGTTATATTTACACAAGGACGAGCACGGCTTTCGTAACGACAGTTTACACAATGCTATACGTATTCATCATGCATTAGCCACTAAAGCGACCGACTACACAAAGAAACAGCACGTCTTCCGGTTACAGACAGCTGATCAGGCCGAATATCTCTTTCAGACGAGGTAAATATATACATATTTCTACGTAGTTTTAAAAAAATTTATTGCAGAGAGTAGAATTAAATTTAAAATTAAATTAGATTTTTTTAAATTAAATTTGCGATTATAATTTAATTTTTCAATTTTAATTTTAATTAACTCTTAATTTAAAACACGATTATACATAATATATTCATATGTCTGTGCAGTGATTCGAAGGAGCTGCAATCGTGGATTGACACAATCAACTTTGTGTGCGCCAGCTTTTCTTGTCAACCACTCGCTGGTGCCGTCGGTTCTCAACGTAAATTCCAGCGCCCGTTGCTGCCATGTAGCCATACTAAATTAAATTCCGTGAGTATTCTTTGAATTTTTTTTAAGTATGCTTATTCAGAAAGTTTTAATGATCTTTTGAAGGTGAAGCTTTTTAAATCTCAATAATTAACTAAATCGTAAATTAATAAAATCTCTAATATCGTTCTTCAATACATTCTATTTCACTATCATACCTAAATTTCAGTTTCTTTGCGTGGAAAGAATTTAAAAGATAGAACATCGTAATTTAATGACATTTTTTTATAGAAATTATTATTAATATATCTTAAAATATTAAAATATTGGTTTTGTATTATATAGTTGTATTATATAGTTAAAGGAAATGAAGAGAAAGAGAATTAAATTATAATTTGTTGAGATAGAGAGAGCAATTGCGGGACCACGAGGATAGAGTCAACAGGCTAGAGGCAGAACTGGACGAACACAGACGACATCCTCCGGAAAGAGGCGCGAAAGCTCTCACTGTACAGAATTATAAAGAGAAGGACGCGTATTTGCATCACGAGGTAATTATTAAACAATAAAAATAGAAAACAAGGTCTAAAGATTTCTATAGATAAAACAATTGCTTAGTTTACAAAGAACGAAAGACTTTTAATTATTATTCAATAATTTCTTTTCTCTTTGTCCTCTTTTAAAATACGAGGTACTTGATTTCATTTAAAAGCGCTATCCGCTCACTTTATCCCATTCTACAGAACAATTTATGCAATACTCTTTTTCAGTTGAAGCGGTACAAGACATACGCCTACTTGCTTCGTTCCCGACTGGCGTTCAACGAGGTAGAGCCGTCGTCACTGGTGGAAAGCAGCATCGGCGAAGTGGACGAAGGCGTTCCCATCGGACCTCCCGGATCCTTAGCAAACGCGGAAGGGGCTCTGATACCGCCGCCGGTCCCTGAACGGCCAACCGCAGCTAATAGGTACAGTTATAGGACCGCCATTTACGGTAGCGGTCGCAATCTGCTGAACGGTGGCCACCAGGACTATAATGCCACCGGTGGCGACATTGGTTGACACGATGCTTTCGGCTTGTGCGGGCTTGTCTGACCCTGGTGCTGGTGCTGGTGCTGGTTAAGTTGATGGTTAATGGTAGACACGAACAGTGACGCAAACTAACGATATACTTATCGCGGCGCTTTGCACACACCCCAATGGTGGTATGACGTATCCATTCGATGTATCTACCCGACAGTGGCAAGACTATTAAATCAAGTTTTACTTTCAATATTAAATTCAATTTTTGAGTTAATATTTAGATATGAATACAAATAGAATAATGTTAAATTGAGTATTTTATCTTTCTTTTAATTTTAAAATTTAATATCTAGAATATTTTTAAAAAATTTTACACTTTTTGATATTTTTTATCTCTATAAAACAGAACAATGAAAAAATATTTCCTTGATTTATCTGTTTAAAGTTAAAAAAAAAATTGAAGATAAAATTGACTGAAATATTAGATTTATTTAAATTGAAATCTTGAAAATTTATTTTAACTTGAAATATTAATTGATGAAAAAAAATTCAGAATTTACATTTATATCAAGGTTTTATTCTTCTAATTAATAGAGAGAGAGGTCTGCCACTGGTTCTATTACTCTTTTCGTATTTCCTATTAACTATCTTATTTTAGTTTTTATAATGGTGATATCTATTCATTAACATTTTACTCTGATATTGATAAAACTTTTTGAGTTTGAGTTTTACAAGTTTAACGTGTTTTCTCAATCATGATACTTTCATTCCTGTGGAGAGAGATTTTTTTTATCTATTTATATTTCTTGACTATACTTGAATGTTGTTTCATTTTTATATGATCCAATCTATTTCACACACAAACTCAAATTCTCGTGTTTAAAAGATATACGATAATATACAAAATAAATCATGTTAATGTAATATAGAAATATTAAATCAGATCACGTATGTTTTTATTTTCTAAAGATCTTTCTAAAGAAATTAATACTACAAATTAATTTAATTAATGTTAACGAATTAGCATTTTTATAAATTAGATATTAAAAATCATGAAATAAATGTTTTAACAATAATATTTTATTCGCAACAAAAATTTTATGACAAAGATTTAATGCTGTAAGTTCGGTAGCTTAGAATGTAATTTTAAATGGTTCACAGATTTTTACTTTCTTATTTTTCTCCTGTTGTATTTCTTTTTAGTAGAAATTGTTTTTTCTTCTATGAAACATCATATTTCAATGGAAGATAGCATGTAAAAAGAATATCTAGTTAGGTAACATTATACTGTTTCACCATATTGTTAGTTTGCGCACAGATATTGATTATGCAATCTAAGAAAAATATATTATAATAAAGGTTGAAAGATTGTTAAGACTGTGTAGAAGAAAGTTTCCGCGTTTCAACTTGCTGTCGTAGAAAGTTGAAGAAAATGTGTCAGCCATTTTATGACTATAAAGAAAACGACCTATAAATTTGTTATTTTATTAATAGTTTAACGAAAATATTAAACTGATATTAACTCAATTTACAAATTTTTAAAAATTTGTGATTTTTTATCATATCCAAATAGTATTTATTTTTTACTTAATATTTTATTAAGTTTGACAAACATTAAAAACAATTCTTTTCCTTTTGTTTCTTTAAAAAGGAATATTAATTAAAGAATAATTTATTTTATAAATGTGTAAGTATAAGTAAGTGTAATTATGCCATATTTTTTTTATGTAAACTTAATTAATTTATATTAAATATAACTTTTTATTAAAATTAATAATATAAAATGTATATTTTATATTTAAACATAATTGAAATCCTCGTCTTCCTGATTTTTATATAAAATTGTTTTATTTTTAATATTTAAATATTTCAATAATTTTTATATTATATAATTATATTTTATATGATTAAAATTTTTGTTTTCTAGTTTTTACATAGTACATAGCATAATTACTTTTAATAATTGAATTTGATGACAATTTGTGTACACGTTGTTCCATTTTATATTCGCAATAAATATTTATTTTTTTAATAAGGCTGATCTTTTAATTAATTAAGGATTAAGTATGAATAATTAACATTTCATAATTAAAAACTTAATTGTAATAAGCAAGATTTTATCATAACCCGAATAATTTGGTTAAGAATTAGGAAAGCTAATGAAAAAGTTAATGAAATTATAGTGATTTTTTAATTTTTAGGAATAATATAGAGATTTATATAGTGTCGTATAAAAAATCTATAGATCGATAAACACATAAAAATAGAAGTTATTATATAAATGAAATTATCGTATTGTAAGAGATAAAGGAATGTTTTACCGGATAGATAGATCTGCGCGAATATACAGAGTGGAATATACCTGTATTTACTTAAAATTTATAATTTACTTAAAATTAACGAAAAAATATATAACAAATTATTTTATATATATGTACTTATGTAATTTTACTTTCTAATTAAATTTTTTTTTATTTTGTTGGAATTCTCTTAAAATGTTCTGAAATTTTTATGATCAGAAATTTCCTTTTTTATCTAATAATCTTTTTTACGTTTTATTTTAATTTTTTCCTTCTTTTTTATTTCTGAATTTATTTTTAGGAAAAATTACCATCTCATCGGTAGTTTATAGCAGATTCCTTGTACATAAAACTGTAATATATGTGGATATACCATGGACTCTTATTATAAACTGCGTAATATAATAATAAAGATCAACGATCTTCTCAAATCTTATATGGACTCGCTTTTCTATGAGAAAGCCCCAATTATTTTTTGCCCAACAAAATATTTCTTTTTAAGTAAATATATAATTTATTTATATAATTATTCGACATTTATATGTGTTATATAGAATTAATATTTTGGCTCTTGTGTAATTTTGCATGCATTGGTTAATTATTGTAAATATTAGATTTAAGCATAGTTTTCTTGTAAATGATATTGTTTTATTTTATTGCTTGTTTTTCTTATCTTGTTTCATATCTTATTTTTATTTACTTTACTTTTAATTACTTAATTACACGTTGATAATTAATGTAATAAATTACTTGTGTATGTATTAATGCATGTACGACACCATAAAGTTTAAATATAAAATAAGGATTGTTAAAATTAAGAAGAAAATGAGAAAAGTAATCGCTTTTTACTAATTAATAATCTTTTTGTAAAGCTAACTTTTTATCTGAACGTAATAAGATTTGCCAAAGTTAAAACCAATTTTTGTTTTATTATTCTGCAAGTTTTACTAAATTTCTGCAAAAAAATTGGCGATTTTTTGCTCATAATATATATGTATTCATTTGTTGCATGCAACAGAGTCAACCTGGCAGCAACGTAAGCAGAATCCAGTAAGATTGTTACATCCAGCTTTCAGGATGTTTTACTCAGGTCGGCTTTCTTTTTGCGCAAACACAAAATAAAAAATAAATTGTATATAAAAATTTGTGCCACTTTGAAATTTAGTTTCTGTACTTTTCGAATACAATCGATGGAATAATTAGAATACTTACGAAGGAATGATGTATTAGCTGCATAATTCAAATTTATCCATTTATCGATTAATAAACAAGTTTTTGCTTTATAAATTATCAAAGACATAACTACTTATTTATTTATTCTCTGTTTCATAATTAATTGTTTTAAGTAATGCAGGATTTTAAGATTTTCAATCTTTACAAAGAAAATTATTTGTATTTGTATCAGCTTCAATATTAATTTTTTTTTAATTAAACTATTTTATATAATATATTATATATATAATTATTATATATAACGTATATAACTTATAAATATGTAAAAATGTTATATACATATATATAAATAAATAATTAATTTTTTAAACCAGCAAAATTAAAATATTATATAACTTCTATGATTATTCTTTTTGTGACAGCATTTTAAAACTTGAATCAATATAAATGTTAATTTCTAAATTTCTTTATACAGTTGCACAATACTAAATTATAATAAAGAAAATGTATCCATGGAAAACACAAAAAAAAATCAGCAATCTTCATTCACATTCATTCCTAAAATTTTTCAAAGTGGTACAGTACAAAATAATGAAAGAAATATTGTAGAAAAATTTCGAGATAGAAAAAATAAATAGACGAAGCCTTGATCAGAGATTAAAAGATTTCCTTCTTTTGAGTAAAAATAACAGATATCGATATAAGAAATAGAGTTAAAATTTTTGTATTTATAAAAATATTTGCGTTATTTAAGACTGACTATAGCAATATATATACATTCGGTATACCGAAAATTGTGATAATGAAAAGAAAATTGCCAATGTATGTGCAAATGTTAAAAACTTCTCATTCCTCATAAATCTTACAATTGTGATTAATTAATTCATAAGTTCTGCGGATGAATAAGAAATTCAAATCGTTCAAATGCGAAAGAGACCAAAGAGTTGCATTTACTCGTATTCTATTTTGTATATGCCGTCTCCTTCACAACTTTGTACACCTTTAGTTCGTGATTCATTCTTACTTTTACATATACATTCGTACAATTTTCTATCTTGTCTTGTGAAAACTTGAGATAGCATGAATGAATTTTACTTGTCGAATAATTAAGAAGCAAAATTAGAATTAAAAACGTTTTTTGTACAACTTGGTTTGCTACTAAGTTATAAATACATATTTGTAAATATATATTTGTATTAGTATTGTTATTATATTACTATTATTATTGAGGAGATAATTCATTGATTGGTAAAATGAATCTCTGAAAGGAAGGACTGCATTTTATATTTATGCGTTATCTTATTATCTTCTTTTTGTAAATATGACCACGAATATGAAAATAAAAAGTTACATAAATAATATCACTTTATATATTTCTATTCATACAATTTTAAATCATTAGTTTACATACAAAAATAACAATGTAATAAAATTAATTAGAAGTTAAGAATTAAAAAAGAAAGGAAAAGAGAGGATTCTTATTAAAAACCACTCGCATAATAAAATCGGTATAATCGTATATAATTCTTCCAAATCGTTTCAGATTTGCTGTTTCTCGCTTTACATACATATATCGTGTGGTTCGAAAATAACTACTTTCTATAGTATATATATGTACAGAACAGTGCGGTGCGTGCCGGTGTATGTGTATTGTGTATTTAGTATAATTATACATGATAATAATTATTATATAATAAACAATGTATATTACAACAAATTGTCTTCCGTCAAAAGCAAGGATAGAAATTCTCTCTCTTTCTCACATACATACACTCGTATATTTCAATTTTTTTTCTCGTTCTCTTGATAATTCCATTCTAATCCCTATAATATACAAGAAATCGATATTTTCTTCTTAATATAACGATAACTATAATATATATTATACAACACTTTGGAGGAATGTGATGGCGTCTCTGATTAGCACCACGACTTCTTCGATCTATCAATTCTTAATTCTTAACTCTGGATCACTCCTATAAACAACATGAAAAAGTTTGGTTTTAAAGCAACTGTTTCTCGCTGCAGTCACCGATTTGGATACTAAATTAATTGCATGTGAATGCAGTGAAAAAACAGGAGCATCATCATTTGTTAGTATATGCATTTTTTCTTCAAAATATAAAATAAATTAATCTCTTCATTATCTCTTGATTTATAAAGTAAAAATATACAGATATCATATTTTTTATTTGATAAACTAAGTAATCAATTATTTAACAAAAACAAATACACATTTTTTAACAACATACACATATTCTTCATTTTTTAGCTTAAAATTAAAATTTAAAACAAATTCTTTTTTATCTTACATAATTTTATACAATTACTCTTTTTTTTAATCCATTCTATTAATTCTTTGTTATATCTGAATTAAAAAAAAGATATACTTTATAAAATATTATCTAGAAGAATTATAATTATATATTAGTGTAAATTGAAGAATAGGAGTAAATCCGGAGTTAATTCAATATTAAATAGATTCATATTTAAAATTACGGCACGATGGCACTTTATATAAATTAAATTACAGCTTGGTATATTTATATTTTATCGTGTGTCTATATATAAATTTTGTGTATGTCTA